TGTTCCACTAGTACGAGGTTACAGTTTAACAAAAAAAAAATGTAAAGTACATCATCAGGTGACAAAACCTTGTCGAAACGTTGTACATTTGCTGTCATGTTAAGCTTATATTAAAGTTTTTCTTCATTACCCATTTAAGCCGTCTCCAGCCATTATTAGTCTCAAAGTGGGTTCCTCGTCATCGAATTTATTTCTAATTAGCAATAATCTGTATACATATATAATGTATAATAATTGAAATGTGACTGTAGAAGGTCACTTTTTCAAGACTAAAGGTCAGTTTTATATTATTGGATACAGTAACATGAGGGCACGTGCACCGTGCCATTGTAACTTCTGTATTGTTAGCCAGACATGGCTGAAAGGTCAATATACCTGGGAATGTTAAAGTCAACTTGTGAATCCACTTTGTATTTTACATACAATGTTCTTTTAATAAAAACTAAAACAATTTCTGTATAAAATTTGTGTTTGATAAGTATATACAAAGTTTACAAAATAAATCTGTTATTTGGTGATTTGACTGCATTTGGTGCTCGGGTAAAAAACGAGTTTTAGAAGTAATGTTTCAGTATGCAATCAACTCTTTCTTTCAGATTCCTGTGAGTATGGGTCTATGAAATTTTACATGTTGTGTGGTTTTGGTGGTATTCTAAGCTGTGGAATCACTCACACTGCTGTTGTTCCCCTCGACCTGGTGAAATGTAGGATACAGGTGATGTTTCTCTCTATTTTGGAAGTCTGACTGTCACCTTGCTTTCTTTTATATGGAAGATATAGTGTGTTTGACATATTTATTACATATTCTTTGCTTTTATTCACAAGTTCTTAGAATATGTTTTCAACCGGAGAACATAAAAATTGGTTGAATAATTCATAAATTCAGTATCAATAACATTGAAGTGAAATTTAATTATCCGTGTTTTGGTAAAAAATATTGTAATCCAAGATAATCCTTTGTGAAATTTCCTGGGCTTAGAATATATATTTGAAGTTTACACAATAGGTCTGTTATTTGTTGATGTGACTACACTTAGTGCTTTAGCTCATGTAAAAAAACAAGTTTTAGAAGTAATTAGAAAATGTAACTAAAAGCACATGTTTTGGTGCAGTAAGCATTATGGTCTTTTTGGAAATATTTAGGCCTAAATATTTGATAAACATAAAAGTAATAGGCACATTGTAAATTATAGGAATAGGGGAGAGCTTATTTTCCGTGGTCCATGTTATCGGTATACGTGGCTCTCGATAACCTAATTTTTCATGTTCGCATTTCTTAGTTTCTACAAATTGTGTCATACAGGCGCATTCAGAAATGGAAATTTTGGCTCATGCATGTGAAGACATATATAATATATAAAAAAAAATTGCAGTATTTTTAGTGTTCTAATGCTGTTATTGACTAGAGTAATCACAGATATCAAACACATTAATGTTTTGAGCTGAGAGTTAGGTCTTTGTACATAATATATATTACAAATTGACTTGTGTATGCAGAGACCTCAGTCACACAATTATAAATGAAGTGAGTACTATTGTGTTGGTACGCATATTTGTGGGTGAGCTGTAAAGCAGATGGTCTTTCATTTGGTCACATCTGATTAGTTCAGCCTTCATTCCTACACAGTTTGCAATCAATAGAATCACAACTTTGATTTATCACGAGTTGTTACTTGTTGCACCTTTTGAAGATCAACAGTAATTAGAAATAAACCTGATTGTTAAACTAAAGAATGCATACTCAGACTTGTAGTTATTGTATAGTGTTCACTGTTTTAAAAATCTCAAAGGCTCATCCTCAAAATTTGACACTTGACCTCACTAGCTTGCTTTATAACTTTTGGTGTTTCACATTAGACTAAAATGTTTCAGACTTCTTTTTTTCATCTTTGGATATATGTTGTATTTTTGTTTTAAAAACTTATCACAACTTTTGTAATAAATTGATGCATTTCTTTATTATATACTACAGGATGAAACAAGCCATGTATCTTAAACTTTTTTTTTTCTATTGTTATTTTAGACAAATCCAGCAAAGTATAAAAATATTATTAATGGGTTTAGTGTTACTTTCAAAGAAGATGGCTTTAAAGGATTTGGTAAAGGTTGGGCTCCAACTGCCATTGGTTACTCCATGCAAGGTCTGGGAAAGTTTGGATTCTATGAAGTATTCAAATACTTTTACAGTGGTATTCTGGGTGAGGTAAGTGGTTCAGTATAATTTAATGGAAATGCAAAAATCTTTTATGACATTTTAGATTGACTTTTATTGCCTTGTGTAACTGTCAAATGATTTAATGTTGTTTTAGAAATTGTTTGATAATTTAAAAAACCACAGAAATTATCCTAAAAAAACTAACATACTTTTTTAATGAAACCTGGACTATAATATTTCATTTATAGTTTTGAGGTAAGTGTAGTCTTATGTATTGATAAAATCTTGTTTAATAACCTGTAAAAAAGTTATTTTTAGAAACTATTTTAGGGCCATTTAGGTGTTACTCTGAAGAGAGAGAAAAAGAAGTTTTATCACACAACATTTAAACTGCTCCATTAGAATATTTGAGCTTGACACAATCTGAGCACCAGGTCACAATGGTGCCCAAAAAAAAAACAACCTGATATCTATCAATTCTAAGTGAATTTTGTCATTAATAAAAATTAAAGTTGTGCTCATTCATATGTACAAAATTTTTTTATATAATTTAACAGGATTTGGCATTTGAAGGGTCAAATACTGTCATATATTTCATTTCTTATATATTTTTTATCATAATGTTACTTAATTTAATGTAAATAATGTAATTTACATGTAAGTAAAAAAAGAACCAGTCTAGAATTCATCTTTAGTCTTTCAACAACAACAAAAAACTCAATGCTGCATATACAACACCACCATATTGATTGTGTGTCATAAATAAAATGTATTACCAGTCATTAGACAGAATGTATTTTTAATAATATGAAATTATGAAGAAGTTATATTGTAAGTAAAAAAAAAATCGGTTGTTGGCTTCATACAATTTCAGGATACTGTAATATGGTATAGTATAACATCACTCACTTATAAAGATTTCAGTGGATAAAGAGCAGGGACTCTTAAACTCTTGCATTATATTAATATATATATGTAATATTTATGAAATATGTAAAAAGGTAAGAAATATTGGGCTATTACAAAATAATTAGCTTTTTGTAGCTTAGGTTGAACATTTGATCATTTTGAAGTTCATCAGTAGGAGTGTAATTTCCAATCTTGCCTATAAATGGGGGGGGGGGACCTTGGGGTGTAAATTTAATAATGAAAAAGTATTAGCTCATAAGTGGATCAATGAAGTATTTTAATGGGTTTTATGTTATTTGACCAGTCATCTTACATTATTTGATTGGTCAACTCTGTTAAGCATCACAAAGAAAAGATTGTGATAAAAAAAAAAAGTTAGAAAAAGAAGACATTTACACTCCAGATAATTATAAAAGACCTTTTATTCTAACCAACATTTTGCTTTTGCAGCTTCTTCAGGGTTAGTACATACAGCATACCCCAAAGAAGCCACAAAGGTGAAATGTTGGTTAAAATAAAAAGTTCTTTTATAATTATCTGGAGTGTAGAGGTAATTTTTTTCTAACCTTTTTATCAAAATGTGTAAATCCTTGCAGTATGCACTACAAATTTTGAAAGACAAAGAAAATACTTTTTAAGCATTTGAGGTTTTGTTAAGTAGAGAAATGCTGTAAAGGAACTCCAAATTGACATAATTTTCAAAGATGTTAGTATAGTGATATAAAAAATCAGTAAGCAGACTTTCAATTGCAAAGACACAATTTAGACAGTGATTAATGTTTATATTGCACAGGAATTATTGCAGAATTATTTCACCTTCAAAGCATTTTCAACATTAAACCAAGAAGGTAGGAGGTTCAAATTTGACATTCTTCTTGTAATTATGAATAATTTGTATTATGATTAGTTGGAAATTGTAGCAGCTTTTTTTATACATTAGTAAATTCTGATGTGGAGAAATTGAGGCTCAGATGCACAACATGAAAATGAAGACAGATTTTTTTTAGGTTTAAAATATTTATTTTAAACTTAAGAAGTTAAAACTTGGATAATGTAAAAAATTAAATTATAAATTAATTTTTCATGCTAAGTTTATTGACATCCATGGATAATAATGCTGTTTAATTAAATTTTGAATGTAACCAAATAGTCATGACATGCCAATTCAACCTAATCCTTCTCTGTTAATTACCATATTGTTTGTATACCATACCAACTGTAGATTGTGTTTTGTTTAGGAACTTAGTTACACTTGGAGGACATCACTATACCTGGCTGCCAGTGCTTCTGCTGAATTCTTTGCTGACATTTTCCTTTGTCCCATGGAAGCAGTGAAAGTTCGTATTCAAACTCAGCCCAGTTCTCCACCAGTGCTGCGCAAGGCAGCTCCCCAAATTTACAGAGAAGAAGGACTGTGGGGGTAAGAAATGTGTATTCTGGTTTATAGATAATTGTTTGGAAGTTTTCAAACATGAAATAGTTTAACAAATTCTGTGACAGACAGGATAACAATTTACTTACTTTTTTAATGCTTCAGTAGCTTTGAAACCAAAATTAAGAGATGCAGAAATAATTCATCTTCATTTATACACGAAAGAGGATTAGATATATAAAATAATTTGACATGTAAAGCAAAGCAATTGAATCTATATACATGTATTGATAGTATTTTTCACAGTTTAAATGAAAATTCTATGAAATTGCTCGGAGTTAATAGTATGTCATTAATTTTTATGTCTGTTAATAACTACACCTAATGTAAATTTCAGCAGTAAGTAATGCACAATGATAGTTGGGATACCTGCAAGATACAAATATCAACAAATATTGCTTCATTTATTAAATTTTTGTAGTTTTTCATGAGTGAGTGGCCATTGCAAGCCAGTTAACTCAGCTTGGGCTCGGTCCCTGGGACCAAAGTCGTAATCATTTTGTGCTTGTTATAGTTTTCATGCTATAATTTTTATATTAATAAGCATGTGCTAACAAAATTTGGTAGATTATCAGTAAACATTACAATACTTTCATTTGCAAAATATTAAATTTTTTGTTAAGTCTTAAGGTTTGTAAAGCAATCATGCTCAGTAACTAAGCTATACTTCAATCTAAAAAAAATGAAATTTTGAGTGTTTATTTAAACTACATAATGACTATTATAAACGTTTCAGAGTGATAGCTAATTAAACAATAACTATTTTGTGTTGTAACTGGTCATTTCAAAGAAAATCTTTGAAAGCAGAAAGCATGTCCAGTGACATACAGAAGGGGCCATTGGGTTAACTAGAAGTATTTTGTTCATTCATAAAATGCTAGTTTTATTATTATAGTTCATGAGGGATTATATTATACTAGATATGTTTTTGATACTGAGCTGAGCACTTGTCTGTTATTGTAATTGATTTATAAAGTGCCATCAGTTCTTTCCTATAATGTTTGCTGTATTAGGTTGAAAATGATGTTTCCCTATAATTTACTATTTCACTATTTGTGTAAAAATTTCTTATATTTTACATAATTCACATTGAAGCTCTTTAATAGATAGTTTTGTTTGCAGTGTGACTGGAAAGTTGATAAATACTTATTGGGAAGTAACAATTTTGTAAATGTTATTTGGTATAATTTGTAGTAACTGATCAGGGGTAGATTCATAGTGATGGAACACTTATTTTGTTTAGCTTGGTATGTACATGTGGTATTATAATCTAAACAGTATAGAAAACCAAAAATGTTAGCTTAATTATCTATTTTGTTGAAAATCTGTTTGTATTAATGTAGGTATGTTGAAGAAAGTCTCAATGTACCTTGGATATTAGAAACTTTTATCTCTTTTTAAGGTACTGAAATGAAGCTTTATTTTGTACTCAAGTCTTTTCATTATTCATGGTTTATCATTTCATGGTAATTGTTTTTTTTAATAGGTTCTACAAAGGAATTTCTCCTCTCTGGATGAGACAGATTCCGTATACAATGATGAAGTTTGCTTGCTTTGAGCGAACCGTGGAAGTCTTATACAAATACGTTGTTCCCAAACCAAGAGATGCATGTTCGAAGCCAGAACAGTTGATAGTTACATTTGCAGCTGGTTACATTGGTGAGTATTTCATCTGAAGCGGCTTGAGTAAAGAAACAACGAATCAAAAGTTGATCATTCCGGCAAGGGTGGAAAAACGTTTTGTTGAGGAGGAGAACCTAATCGCTAGTCAATTATCAGTCGAATAAAAACTAAACACGTGCCTTGTATGAAAATGTTAACAGTTACTATACATGAATTTTAAAACTAAATTATTATTTTTAAATGAAAAAGTAATAAATGAACAATTAGCAGTGAACTACTATTTTTCAGGTATGTACAAAATTGTATTGTGTGTTTAAAATTTTCACATATAACATCTACTTGTACAGTAATTATTTCAAGCAGAAATATCTACTAAGTATGTCAAGAACAATAAGAGCCACACATACTAACCTTTTAAGTGATATATGTAAATAAATGATTTAAGTACAGTGGACTGTAAAGTAATTACACTTTAATCAAAAATGTTTATCTGTTAACTGATGAGACAAGTACAGACTTTTACGTACCCACTATTACAATGTGTTTACATACTTTTTTAATGCATTATTTGAAAGCAAATGATCATTATAGCTGTGTAGTATCTGATTGTTTTCGTACTTGCCTGTATAAATTTCTGAAGACTTGCTGTGTTTACCATTATACAGTTCTGTGGCTCCATCATGTCTGAGTTAAATATCTGTTAAGTACAAAAAAAAAAAGAAATGGGAGAATAACACTTAAAAACTCATGATTATTTAGAAATTTTTGCAGTTCATGCTTTATGAAATCTTTTAGGTGTCAGGTAGAATGAAACTTATTAACGTTTTCTCAAGATTTGCACATTTCTCTTGTAAAACATTCATCGTGTCTTGCCATTGTTCAAAAATGTACGTATTATTGATGTCCTGTTTTTAATTTGTGTGTTTATATTACAAGAACTTGGAAAGTGCAGTTAAAATATTGTTCAATAATTGATATTATGTGATATGTAGAAAAATACCATCAAGCAGGTGTGAAGGAGCATTGTGAATAATATAAAAAAATTAGGTTGCTGAGTAATAATAAAAACCTACTTTGAATATGTGACAATTTTTGGAGTGATATTAAATGTAGCATTTTTTTCTTTCTCCTTTTTATTTTGAGTTTTTAAAATTTACCATGCTGAACAGATTGATGGGTGTCTCGTATTACGCAGTCCTTATAATTGGTTATATTTGAGATTATTATCCTAATTGTATTATTATTATTCTAATTGTATTACTAATAATGCATCACTTAATTATTAAGGAAAACATGTTTATTCTATTATTTTCTCTACCCTAACTCCATACCGAGTTGGTCAATTTGACTGACCTCGTAATCACCAAAAGAAAATTGAAATAAATCTAAATTACCCTTTTTTCTTTCTAGAATGACTTCAAAGTCTAACATGAAACTACATTCATTTATGCTAAATAGGTTTAAACTCTTAACAGTATACATTCGTTTATAAGTAAGTTTTATTGTTTTATTTCCCATTCACTCCATTATAAGATGTCAATCACTTGGGGAACGTGGAGGTCACGTTACGCTATTGAATTGTTACCCATGAGCTGCTCACATTTGTGCCTCGTGAAACACTATTAAATTATTTATTTTACATTTTAGTTACTTTTATAATAATAAATAAAGAATAAACAAGAAATAAAGTACTTACCCAAGTATTTTTTTTTTCTGTTGTCAACTGTTAATGATACTTAATTCTACTTTTTTTTATACTAATGGTAGTAATGCACTAAATGATTTTTATTTAATTAAATAATGCACCAAAGAACACAGAATAATAACATGTACAAAGTAGAAAATTTCTCCGAACTCTCACAATTTTTCTGACATTCTAACTATGCTACAAGAGCCATTACAAATTCATCCATGCTAGTCATTATCTTTCCTGTGGGAATGAAGCTTGTACTAACAGAGAAATTGACAACTCTCTATTTAGAACACAATGTAATGTAATAGATCATTTGGTAGATGAAAACCTTGGCCTTGTATTGGTTATAGATAATATATAGAATTAAATGTAAGAGAGAACAATTTTCAAATCCTGAAAGACAGGATGTGACAGGTGGGTGTAGCAAGATGGGTCTGATTTTCTATTTGATAGCTCTGTAACCAAAAAATAGAAAGCTATAAAAAATTATGGTTTATCTGAGCAATAAGGATTTTATAGTGAGAAATTTACATTCAATTTATTACATTTTGAAGGGGTGGTGGATAAAATAAAGAGGAGAAGATACCTAGAGAAAATGTCACATGTGTCACACTGGGGGAAATTCTGAGTTTTTTAAAATATTTCCTAATAGAATTAAGAACTTAACTTATATTCCATTAAAATATGGGTTATTAGCTGAGATTTTATGCTATACTAATTGGTATAACATAAACAAAAAAGTAGTTTAATAAAATGTTGAATGTAAGACACTAAAACTTTGTGACCTGCACAGGAAAGGATGCTCGTGGCAATAGAGTTAAAAGGAGATACTTTTATTAAAGAGAGAAAATCCAGTGAATCAGTGTGTTTAATATTTTCCACATTTTTTTTAATGTGTATATGATTGTTTACAGTATATAAAAAATGCTAGAATATACTGAATAGTAAATTCCACATAATGCAAGATTAAGGTCCCCTAATTTTTAAATATGTTGGTTTTTGGTACAGGTGTTTTGAGCATTCTAAATTGATTTTCCTGTTTTAAAATGATTGTAGTAGGGATAGTATTAAAGTTTACTTTTTTTCCTTCTTTGCAGCTGGTATTTTCTGTGCTGTGGTTTCCCACCCAGCTGACACTATTGTATCTAAGCTGAACCAAGACACTGGTAGCACTGCTGTTCAAGCTGCAAAACAACTTGGAATGAAAGGTTTGTTTTATTGGAAATACAATTTTTTTGTGTGTGTGACTTTCAACTCAACTCATGAAGATTCACAACAGTTTTGGATTTATGATTTTTTTTTCCTAACAAAAGTTAATACAAAAATTTTATTGGATATTTGATGTTGCTATCTTGTACTTTCTAATTCAGAAAATGGGTATCATATGTTTCAATTATAATATATTTAATGTAGGTATGTGCAGTGTAAAGTACATGTGAATGTGAACAATATGTCTTATTGAGAGAGGTATTTTACACTAGACAACCACGGTCATATATATATATATAAACTTATTCTAGTATCTCAGTGACATGTGTGCAATGAAGTCGGTGTAATATCTGTGTGTGTTGTAAATTTCTATAATAATAATGATTCTACTATAAACCTAGAAGAGTTTTATGTACAATAATGTAATAGCTGGCATGATAGGGTGCTTCAAGTTACATCAGATGATTTTGATTAAATACACGTTCCTTAAACCTCCCCTGTTATTTCTGCAACTTTTTATTGAACTCTGTCATCCTGACAAGAGTTCTTGTGGTGATCTGCCCCAGTAAAAGTTGTTAGAAGTGTTCAGTGCAAGGGATGGTGAGTCAAAACGTGTTACATTAGCTCTAAGCATTTTCCTCAGTTATTCATGGCAACCAGTAGGATCTCTCTCCTGTTATATTGGTAGCCACAGATTTACTCAGGGAACATACCAACTAACTTCTAAGTTGTGGACATAAATCATAAGACTGATACTGTGGACTGGATAGTTTGAAGTGGTTAGCTGAGGTCATTATTGGTCAGTTTCATATTTTTATTAATTTCAAACATAAGTTGTTTTTTACCTAGTGGTTTGCTGAACATGTGCTCAGTATATCTTTTTAAAAATTCCACTTT